TAGTTTCTTTTTTCATGTATTATAAAATAGTAAATTAGAAAACAGAATATACGATCATAATCTACAATCGTGACACATGTGAATTTATAGAATATTTAAAATTTAGAAATAAAATTAAATTTAAAAGAAGTAAAAAATAATTGTTAAATTAGTAATTTGATTTTACGGGTAATTCGCATACATGCAGGTTCTAATCTAGTATATATATTTATTACATAAGTTAGATGCATCAAAGTTAGTATATATATGATTTTTTTTTACAAGTGTTAATTGCTTTTTTAAAAAAGTTTATTTTTAATATTTTTTGCAGCATAAATGTAAAAAACAAGACACAAAATTTATGCGGTATATTCATTATTTTAGCTTTTGACTTACAATCACTTATATATAGTGAAATTGAAAATTCCAGCAATAATGGGCAGAACAAACAGAATAATTAGAAGTTAAATATCATGGAGTCGAAAGTGATAACTTTGTTATTATCATGACAAGTGTATTGATTAAGATGTATCAAGGTGCAATTTGTTTGTCAACATCTTCAGGAACCAAATTCAACTTGAATCGTGATTGTGATTCTGTTTTTTTTTTTCTAAAAAGATATCATATTAATATTTTGAATTATATTTAATTTGTTTATTATTTTTAAATTTTAATTAATAAACTAATTATTTATTGTAATCTGTTAGTGCTAGATATGATGGTGGATGTCCAGTTAATCTTGGTTACATGGTTAAAGAACATTTGATAAATAATAAATTTTCAGAAGCTGAACATTTTATTAAATATATTTGGAATTTTATCTTATCTGAGGTTTATCAGGTAAAATAAATGTATATTTATTTTTTGTTGAACAAAAATAAATAAGCTTAACTTTATAATAATAGTTTAATAAAAAATTTAAAAATAAGATTAACTTTAATTTATAAAATAAAATAAGATATTTCAGTTTTCATTGCAATTTATAACTTTGCAAATATGTCAATTACAGAAATGATATATTTCAAAAACAAAAGCAAAAATAAATAAGATTAACTTCAATTTAGGAAAATATAACCCAAAATATGAATCCTATGAAAATAGAAAATTATTATTGACATCTATATAAACACAAAAATATCCTTATAAAAGAAACATTTATATCATCATATCTTAGTATGCCTTATTCGAGCTAATATAATCTATCTACGTTAGTTATCTAATTTTGTTTTCAAGTTATTTTTATGAGTTTATAAATATTTTATGTGTTTTATAATCTATCTTATTATATAAAGTTGGATGTGTCAAAATAGTAATTAACATGATAGTGACATGTTGTGAGTCTTCTGATTCAGATTTTAATACGTATCACCATTAAAAAAAATTTTAAAAACCAATAACACTATAAGAAATCATATGTGTTGTATCATTTGTTACTATCATTTTTTGATTGATGCAAATTCAGTTGCATCATTTAATTAAATGACTCTGGAAGTGGTGATGCTAATCATTTATATCAATATTTTTAATGATGCAATTATTTTCATTACTTATAATAATTGATATTAATATATATAATTTGCAATAAGTGGTATTAAAATTTGACTCAGTTAAAATAAATAATATTAATATTTAAATCAGTCATAATAAATGATATTAACATTTACTATCAGTTATAATAAATAATATTATATATTAAAATTTAGGAATATTAAAATTCATCTTGATTTAAAATTTTGTGTTAATTTTTATAATATTATAAATTTAGGATAAATACTTATTTTGTATTTATTATTTTTTAAAATGTATATAAATACATATATACGATTTAACATATAAAAAGTTTAGTGTTGATGAGTTTCTTTTATAGAGGAAGAAACTAGTACTCTTCATCATTCTTATCAATGTGAGACAAGTAGTTGTTTAGTTGAAATTTTATTTGACTTATTTTTATAATTGAAAGAAATAGTAGCATCAATAATAATCAAATGCTTCACTTATATAATTGATGTAAACTTATATATTTGTGTTAGTTTTTTTAAAATAATATAATTTAATAATGATTTGTATTAGTTATTTTTAATTGATGTTAATCAAATTAGTATTAGTATCAATTGTTTTTAATTGATACTAGTCAAGTTAAGATTAGTATCAATTAAAAAACTGATGTAAAATTTTATATTTAGTATCAATTTTTAATAAATGATTCCATATAGAATTAATTGTTTTATTAACACTTTATAAGTGATGTAATATACCTTTTTCTTGTAGTGTAAAGAAAAGAAAAATATTATTTGAAAAAAAAATAAAAACAAAAGTTCATAATAAGAAATATTTCAATTCTGAAAAAGAAAATAAGCTAAAACTCTAATCTTAAATCAAGAAGAAAAGTATTATCCACATCTATATAAGCACATAAAGTCTCTCGTCATTTTTCACCAAAACAATAATACTTCTTGATATTCATTCTATTACTATAATTTTCCTTTTTATTGTATTTTTATTATGAAAATACTTTATACATTATTCCAAATTTTCATCCATTATGATTTGTAAGGTATTTCAAATTTGTATCCTTTAAGATTTTTTGGGTGAATATTGTATTCATTTAAGTATTTTCGGTATTCAATTATTTCAAGTTCTTATCTATTATGATTCATTCCGTATTCTAAATTTTTATCCTTTATGACTCATTTGCTAAATATTTTATTCATTTAAAGTGTTTATCGTCTTCCTCATTACTGATCATAAATATAAATATTGCACGCCTATGTTCATTATAAATTTCACCCGCACATGCGTTCATTATAAAATTTGCTTTTTAAAATTTTTAAATGACTCTATAATATAAAGCACGGGAGTTTTACGAAACAATAAAACTGTAGAGATTTATTTTTATTTTTCCTTCTCCTTCTTATTCATATTTGTTTCATCTTATTCTGATTTATTTTTTTATCCGGTTGTTTTTTGTTTTATTTTTGATCTCACATTCTCGATCTTCAATGAGAATGTATATGAGTATGATATAAACTTTAAAAAACAAGATAAGAGATTAAGTGAGATGGTAATGGAAGTTAAGTAAATTCCAGAAAACAACAATATAAAAAAGAATTAAAACTTCTTTTATAAGAATAATAATATATCATATTTCTAACATTATTAATACATAGAGTATTTAATACACTATTGGATAATCTATTATTATTTTCTGTCTTTTTCTATATAAAATATAATATATATATGGTTGTAAAATTTTTGTAATTATATTCTATGCAATCTATTATGAATATATGTAAAACAATTGAAATCATAGTAATTATCAGTTTATGTTAATTTAAATTTATTAAGTTTAGTGTTATGATCTAGTTTATTTATGTTTTAATTTCATAATTTATTAAATTTTAACTCAATCAATCAAAACATTTCGTTTATTTTATGAATTTTTAACATGTCACATTTCCAGGTCAACTTTATAATATACTAACTTTTCTTCTCATTTTGACACATCATATATTTTCACAAGTGGCTTGTCAAATAATAGTTAAGATTGCATGTGGTAAAATTTGATCAGTTGACTCAAATGCATTTCAATCATTTTAATTTAGGTTTTAATCTCTATATACGCTAGATTATAATTAACTAGTATATAACCTGTTAGAAAAAATAGAATATTAAAGAAAGTAAAAGACAAAATCAGCTCACTGGAAACATAAAAAATTAAGACTGATAATGCTTTAAAAAAAACCATCTATAATAGAACCGACAAAGAAACTCACTTTCTCATTCATTCTGTATTTACTTTTATATTTTCCCCAAATATGATTTCTCTATAACAAATTTTCATTGAGAATTTCTTTTGATAAAATGGTATGAGAGCAAAACTGGCTTCTTCATTCATTCCAATTCCTCAATTTTGATTGCTTTTATCGATTCATCAGTTTTTCATCTAATTCTCTTGATTCGAGTTTCAGAGAGAAATCAGTTTAGTAAAATTATAAAAGACTTTATGTGTTTACAAAGATATTAGTAATAGTTTTTTTTCGAGTATAAGTGTTTATTATAAGAAAATGAAATATATAATTTTTTATAATTTCTTTTTAGTTTTTTCCTTTTTCTTTTGGATATTATAGTAGTTATATTTTTTTTTAAAAATAATAGTCATATTTCCTAAACTTAATTTTTATTTTTAATTTGATCACGATACATGTCAAAATTTGATCAATTAAATTTCTATATATCATGATACATGTCAAAATTTGATCAATTTTTCTTCTTTGTTCTTTGAATTTTACACGAAAAATAGTTCCTTATTTTCTTTTTTCGCTTACGAGTTTATATAACTAGGGAAAAAAAGTATGTAGTCGTATATGAATCATGACTAAATGTGATGATAATCACCCTAACTTTACAACCATGTGTAAACAAACTTACATTTTATTGTTTTAAAAATAAAGTTCAAAGTGTCAAGTCATCTGAATCCTTCTTTTAACTGAAATATCATTTTAACGGTAATGAGTCACCGGAAGAATAATAGCAAATTAGTAAATGAACTATGATCAAACGTCACAATTGTATGAACTTGTTTTTTTTTTTGTTAAAGGGCTTCAATTGTATTGTATATTGTATGAACTTGTGCGTACACAGATTTGCATTTTAGTCGCCTATAAGGTTTAAACCTGAACTTATGTTTTTATTAACTTTTTACACCCAAATTATCAAATAATTGCATTTTAGTCGCATATAAAACTGGTGATGATGTAGGAAAGAACAAGACATTGTTAATTTTGGGTTGAAAATTAATTTTATTGAATTAAAAATAAACAACACAGTATAATTCTAGACTCTTGAGTCTTGACCCTGAACTCATAATCTACCACTAGTCTCCTCATATGATAGGTAACGCATTAATTAGAAAACTCAAATTTGATGGACGACAAAAATATAAGATATATCGACTCAAATTTTTTTCACTAAAACCATTTGTTTAAAACAAAAGGAAACTTAAAATTGATGGTATGGATGCTTTAGAACTGGTCGTTGTCTTCCATCCAAGGAAATCCTGTTTTCTCACCGAGCTTCAACATTTCTTCAACGATTTGCTGATCTTGATTTTGATATGGATTGTAAAATTCATCCTGAGACAGTAATCGAATAACAAGATTGTTGCATGATATGAATTATGATTTAAATTAAAGATACAAAAATGTTAATCACACACACAAACCTCATTCTTAGCCGGAACATATACTTCTTGGTCGCTACTTGGGAGGGGATTACTTGCAACAGAATTATCATGCGCTACTATCTGGTTTGAAGGGATTCCTGGCGTCAACTGGCTGGTTACTTGCAGAGATTTCAAGGTTGGAGCATTCAGATAATTGCTTGCAAGAGAATTAACATGTTCTGGTCGCGGGTTTGAAGCCATTACGGACTGCAACAATTTCACAAAGGAAAAGGAACCTGATTCAGCTGTAGCTGGTGGTGCCGTGACGGCGGTCCAGGCAGTCGCTATTGAGGAAGATTGGCTGATTTCGAATTGCGGAGAGTTCAAGGTTGACGCATTAAGATAATTGCTTGCAAGAGAATTAGCATGTTGTGGTTCCGAGGTTGAAGAGATTATGGAGTGCAACATGCTCACAGAGGAAAAAGAACCTGATTCAGCTGTAGCTATTTGTTCCATGACCGCGGTCGTAGGGGCAGGTTCCATGTTCCGGGGAGTCGCCATTGAGGAAGATTCACCGATTTCGAATGGCGGATTGTTTAGGATTACGTTCTTATGATGATTAAGATCCTTGAGATATTGATCAATGAAATTAACCAAGTCATTAGGATCACTATTTTGCATGGTCAAACCTTCCATGTTCCCTCTAAGACACCCGAACATGAGCTCCTTCATGTAGATCTCCTTGTTTCCCTCAGTCAGATTTAGAGTCCTCTTCTTGACTTTTTTGATTTCTTGAATGAGGAATTCTTCATGGGTCACCGATTTACATTTCTTCTCCTTCTCTGGCAACATCTCAAACTTCTCTATTACGTTAATCGCCTCTGGTTTTGATGGCCATACCTCTGGATTTAAGTTGTTGAATGGCTCGTGGATGACCGCACATGCGGCGACATCGCAAAGAACCTTGAGCTCATCGAGTTTCTTGATCAATCCTTTCTTCCTATGCTTGAACGTTGTTGCTCTCATCATGCCATCGGAAATGTAAGCTCGGTCTAACTTCTTCCTCCCCATAACAATAACAAATGGTATTTTTTCCTTTCTATGGTTTATGTGTATTGTGTTTTGTTTATGGTAAAACACATGTTTATATAGTAGTCATTAGCCAAAGGGTCCTCGTGATTTGTTGTCCCTTTGCTGGCTAATATAACTAGAAATGGTTAGTATTAAAGTAATGCAAGTTTTTTTAATTAATGGTATTTATTAGCTAACTATAATAGTTAGGTAATGCTTACTCAAGAGCCAAGATAACTACAACTAATTTACTGGTGAGGAGTGACGACAAGTGTTATTTTATCTTCGCATTGTAAGGACGTACATTAATATTTGTAAAAGCGCCAATTAGCAAATATGATGTGCAATTTTCTTCTATTATGATGTAAAATTATCTTATCAATCATTTGACACGTGGCTTCATGTTCGGAATTGTAGAGCTTTATTGTATCAATCATTTGACACGTGGCTTCATGTTCAGAATAATAAACTATTACATTGTTCCTAAGCCTATCCATTGTGAGTTTTATTGAAATTTTTATAGATAAAATTTCAGTATGTTGTTTTTGAGGATTAAAAAAGATAGTTAGAGAGTAATATTTAGTTTTCTTATATTCGGTAGATCCTTCTATATATGAAAGAATCTAAAACAAAATTGGTTTTCTTCGTGAATTTTTAAACTTCACGAATAAGCATGAAAATTATCTTTCATTATGTCAATTGTTCTTGTCTGAATGGCCAATTTAAGAACACGAGTAATTAACTCAATGATCCGAAAAGAAAAAAATCTTATTTCCCAAAACACTGCTGATTAATTCGTCCTTTATTTTCTGTTTGGGTAGTGGTTCTTTGCTAAAACATCTGTTTAGTACTCCATCCGTTTTTTAATTAGAAGATGTTTTACAATTTATTTTTTGTTCCAAAATATATGATATTCTCAAATTTTAATACAAAAATTAATTATATTTTTATTGTTATTGTTTGAATTCTAAATCTTATTTTTTTTATTAATTAAACTGTTTTGGAATTGATGAAAAAATATGTTTTGTTTTGAAAACATAAAAAATTAAATGATCTCTTAATTTGCACATCTCCAAAACACCATAGAATCAATATATAATATTTTGAAAATTCTATGGAAGAGCACACATAATTGCGAGTTTTTTGTTTTTGGTATGAAATCCTATAGAAGAGCACAAACATCAGTCTCTGCCCATAAGCTTCTTCTGGTTGCCACTTCTTCTACTTTTGTTTTCTTTTATGTTATATGATTCGTAGAAATGCTCTTAGTCAAAATACTGCAAGATCTGAGGTATTCAAGAAGATACTGGAATCTGATGAGTGTAAGGCTTCGTTTGGGATGGAGACAATCACTCTCTCGTGTGAAACATGAAAACAAAAAGAGAGGCTTTAGTTAACTTCATTTACAGCGACGGCTCCATGCATTCACCGAAAGCATAGCACACGTTTTTTTATCGTTGCTTAAAGAAAGCAAAGCACACGTTAGGTCAATCTATGATCTATATCTTACATACATGGTGTGGATATACAAGAATTAAAACTAATACATATATATATATATATATATATTATATGTGGCGAAAAGCCATTATCATTTGGAGTCAATCTGAATCGCCGGTTTTTAGAACAAATTTTTGGTTTTAGTGAATATATATATATATACTTTCTCTGTTTCATAATAAGTATTATTTTGATATTTAATTTTTGTTTCACAAAAAATATCATTTTATATTTTTAATATAAAAATTTATAATAAATTTCAGTCTTATCTCTACTATTTTAACCTATTAATCAGAAAGAGAAATTAATTTAATATATTAATAAAAGATATAAAAGAATTTGATAAGTTCTTAATATATTTGAAAAAAATATTGATGAAACTCAAAGTACATGTAAGAATAGCGAAATTTATTATCTTTCTAACTATAAAAAAAAATAAATAACTCTTTTGTAACGGTGGCGATGGTGATGGCGAGTCGATGAAAACGAGATCGCTAACGACGATTCTCACATCGGATTTGGTGGATCGGATTTGGGTACTGTGGCTATGGCTTTGGTAGCTTCTGGTAACAGAGATTTGGAACCAGGAGGATCGGACTTGGTATGTGCATTATGATCTTGATACATCTGGAGATTATAGTGGTGGGGTTTTGAATTCAGGAAGATATACGTATTTGTTGAGGGATCAATCCAGATCAGAAAACCATCTCCTTGGGATTTCTAAGGGTTGGTTGATTCTAGGAGCTTAAACAAGCAATCTCGGTGTGTGTTTTGAAGTCTGGAATATCTGGACGAATATACAAGAATCTTTGGAGATTTTAGGGCATTAAAGATGTATTAAGTACTGATTCTTGCTCTGATTGAAACATAACACAATTTCGAATAACCGGGTATCAGGATAATCACTAAAATGTTTCAATTTTACAATAATCTGAAATTAATTGGAGGCTTTACGGATTCAAGATTTGGCTACTAATTGATTTACGATTTATAAGGTGGAGATGGATTATATTTGGGATCGATACAATATTTGGAAACAAGATTTGTGAGGATTTGATGAGACTTTTCTCTGAGGAATCGCAGAGTAATTCATGGTGTCAGAGGCTGGTACATCAAATTTATGGGATGACAATGAATCATTGGTTACAAAGTTTCTCGGATTCATATAAGGTAATGGGATTCTCCTTGAATCAATTTGGAAATGATTGCGAAACTAAAGAGATTATGGGTTCACAATTACTAGAGTCTATAAGAATCGATTATGGAAACAATGGTGTTACATGGTATGGTATAAAGGAATTAATCATTTTGGAATCAAAAGAATACTTATCCTTCTGATGTCTATTGGTATTTCTCTTATCTAATTATGCTCTCATCCTTTTTCTAGTTGATACTATGTCGCAAGCAAGCCGCATTGGGCGGGTGGTGCAACAAAGAGAAGAAGATTCTTGGCCCTCGGATAAAGATTACTGTGCCTCGGTTTGACAACACGGTGTTGATCAACGATTACTCCAGGACTCTCATTAGCAGATGTATAAATCCACTGGTGCAAGACATGAACTTCCTATTATTCATGCTGCCTTGGATTTGGAAGGTTGAGGATAGAGTGGCAGGTGCAGATCTTGGTATGAAGTGTATTCAGTTTGATTTTGATGAAGAAGATGACATTTTAATGGTTCTACAAATAGAGCCTTTTCACGTTGGCGGCTGGATGGTGGTGTTTGTCTGTTGGGAACCCCTTATGGAGGCCAACTATCTATCGGCTCTCACTTTATGGGTCCGTATGATGGGGATCCCTCTTCATTTCTGGGGTGAGCCAATATTTCAGAGTATGGGGAATGCCATTGGTGATGTCCAAGGTGTGGATTTTGATGGTGGTAGAGTGCACGCCGGCATGGATGCTTTCAAGCCTCTGAATTTTGAAATTTCAGTTGCATTTCACAGTGGAGAAGAAGCCACAGTGATTTGGTGGTATGAGAGGTTTCATGGCTTTTGTCGGGAGTGATATAGTCTCTGCCATGACACTAATAAGTGTCCACTGTTGCACCCGAAAAGGGAGAGAAAAGAAAAGGCTCGATATAAAGAAGAGAAACCAGATAATGGTGCAATGAGTTACAAAAGAATTGTAGAGATAAAGCTATTGTGGGTAAATCCCAGTAGAAACCTGCACATATGAAGTTGTTAAGGGGTCAAGGCAAGATGAGGGAGACATGGGACACCAAGTGAGGTGGAGGTCTCAAGGATAGACAAGGTGGACATTCGATGATGGGCTCTAGGCTGCAGAACCATGATCACCAATTATTCAGAATTGAGGCCACACCATGAGGGCACCATACGGGTATTCAAAGAACCACCAAGGGTCAAGGGTCAAGGAAAAAAGGTCAATGGAGTTGAGCCAGTTTCGATGGTAAAAGAGATAAGAAATGTGGAGCTTTCTATTCAGAGTCCAACTCAATGATCGACCAAAAAGGTTAGGAAGGAACTAAAATTTGAAGAATTAGTGTTGATATGGATGATTTGGGATAAATGATTGGTAGAGTGGTAATGATTGATATAATTGAGAAGACATAGGCTAATTTGGAGACATGAATAGACAATGGTGTTGGGATACAACATGGACATGAGGATGATGTACTTCTGGATATAGATGCGGATTTTGATGAGGGTTTCATGGAGAAGTTTTCGTGCAACTTACATGAAGGAGGAGAGGAGGATTTGGATGAACATGTTCCAGATGGATCCAAAGCAGATGGGGTGGAGATGGAGCCTTCTGCGCAGACGTTAATTGTGGTAGGTAATTCATAGATTGAAGGCAATGGCAACATCACTTTTAAGGTACCCTCTAAGGCTGGCGTGAAAAAAAAATTGGAGTCTCGAAGAAGTTGTTGCAAGCTACAACGGCAAAGAAGAAAGGGTTAAAGGATACCAAATGAGGTGGAGCTAAAGGTCTAATACAATCTAGGAAGATTGAAGATCCGGCTGAGGGATCGGATGAAAAAATATTGATCAATGAGGATTCTTAGTTGGAATTGCCAGGGATTGTGTAACATGTACTTAATAATCTACCTTAGAGAGATTTGGAGAAAATTCAGACTGAATTTTTTATTTCTTTATAAGACAAAGCAATATTTTAATTTTTTGGAACAATTTCAGTTTCATTTTGGGTATGATTTATGGTATACGATTGAACCGTTTGGGGCTAGTGGTGGTTTGACTTTGTTTTGTAATAAAACCTTTGATGTTAAAAACTTATTTTCTGATAAAAGTTTTATTGATACTAAGGCTACCATAGATGGAAAATTATTGCATCTATCTTTTTGTTTATGGCGATCTGGTTCCAAAATTACAGAATCATATATGGGAATAGTTAACTCGAACAAATTTGACTAGGAATAAAATATGGTTTTTAGTTGGAGATTTTAATAAAATTAAAGGCAATCATTAAAAACAAGAAGGTTTACTAAGACAGACGTCTTCTTTTATTAATTTAATACAATTAG